ATTCTTTCATCTCGCAATTTTATAGATTTATTGTTGGTTACCTTATTGTTCAAATTTATTAACTAATTCTCTAGAATTAAATTATAAATTTAAATTTTATTAAATAATATTTCTTCCAAGATCTTTATTATTTTCAGAGAAATACATACCAATTTACCGAAGTATGATCAATATATGATGACAAGTTATTATGAGAATATGCTAAAATTTGATAATCATATCGCTTTGATTTTATAATAAATCAAACTAAAATTCTACTTTCATACTCATACTACATAAAATTCGTACCATTTATTCTGCCCAAAGCCACATGCATTGAAATTGCTAGTATATGTGTTAAGTTCTGGTGGAGGAGTGGGGGTGATAATTCAACTGGAATCCATTGGAAGAAGTGGGCTTTTGTTACTCTCCCAAAGAAGTTGGGTGGTCTTGGCTTTCATGATCTGCAGTTACTCAATGATGCCTTAATACTAAAGCAGTTGTGGAGAGTGGAAACCTTACCTAACCTGCTGGTCAGCAAATTTCTGAAAAGCAAATACTTTCCTTCTGGATGCATATTTCAGGCTCTTGTAAATCAGAATGCCTCTTGGCTTTGGTCAATCTGGATGTCAGTAAGAGACAGATACAAGAAGTGCCTTCAAATTAACATTGGAGATGGGATATCAAATAATATCTGGGGAGATCCTTGGGCTTCATCAATTCCTTTTATCAAATCTGCAAGGGCTGTGACTGTTGAACCTGAGATTCAGAAGGTTTGGGAATTAATGGAAGAAGGTGGTAGACAGTGGAATATCCCTCTGGTCAAGCAGCTGTTTAGTGACGAGGACAGTGAAAAAATTTTGAAAATCAAAAATCTTGACCCTCACAAGAAGGATAGGTGGATATGGAATAATGAAGCTATGGAGAAATTCTCAGTGGCCAAAGTCTATTCTAAGCTGGTTACTGACAAGTTCAGAAGGTTGGATATTGCTGAGAGTAGCACATCTGCAAATGTGGTGAGGAAAGTCAGAAATAGAACATGGCAACTCAAAGTAAAAGGCAAGCTTAAGCATTTCATGTGGAAGTGCTTCTCAGCTGCACTGCCAGTCAAATCAGAGCTGAGAAGGAGAGGGCTTTTCGTTGATGCTATATGCAGCTCCTGTGGGGAACAAGTAGAAACTGTAGAACACCTTTTCTTCTAATGCAGTAAAGCAAAGGAAGTCTGGAAAAACTCACCTATCTATTGGGACATTGCACTTGATGTATCAACTAAATTCAGGAACTGGTGGCAAGATGTATGTTCTGTGAATAAACTTGAAGTGTCTGTGGCCAGAATAGAGCTTACCACATACATATTGTGGTGGCTCTAGAAAGCTCGCATTCTGTGGGTATTCAAAAAGGAGTGGCTGCCAGCTCATGTCATTGTGAAACTTGCCATGAAGGACTGGCAGGAATTTGCAAACATGAACAGCAGATAGGTTCAGCAGGAAGGAAGTGGGCCTAAGTTCTTTGATGTCCAGTGGGTGCTTCTTTCTTGCTCCTTTCTTAGTTAGGTTCTGATTTTTCTTATTCATTGTGGTTTGTATTGTTCTGTTATTATTCTGTTATCGTTGCAGTTGATTGTTGTGTTTTGTTATCCAAGCTAGACTGAGATGCTAAGGGTTACAGAATTCTCCTGGCCTTAGCATGCTTAAGCAAGCTTGAATGTGTAGTGTTGGAGTTGTTTTGGTCATTCTAGAACACCTGTGGGATGGTGCTTCTCTTGTATTAGAACCAGTTAGTTCTCAGGCTTGTATTTTGTACATTTGATGATATAACATCTTCTATCGTTTCGGAAAAAAAAATAAGGAGGAGGAAAATTTTTAAGTAGCCTTCTAATGTTACACATGACAGAAAGGGCTCATTTAGATTAACGTTCTTTAAACTGTATCTTGATATAATAATGTAATTAACTAACAAGCGCTATTTGTTCATTCATAGGATAATTCAAGATCAATCCAAAGGTTCTTTGCTCCCTTCAGACCCGAATCAATCCACTTCAGACAACAGCACATAAAGGGGGGAAAATAAAACTACAAAGAAGAAAAAAACACAAACACACATAAAGTTGACATGAACTAAGAATATGTAATTAAAGATCTCGAACTTCGAATTGATTGCGATTCTTGACGACAATATCGTACATGTGGATGGACTTGAACTTGCAGAAATCCTTAGGAAGTGAAATGAGGTGAACTGTGGAGGTTTTATGAAATTGCAAAAGGTTAGGGTCCTCATAGTACCTTTCCCATCCCAAGGACAACAAAATCCTCTCCAAAACTGCGTATGATGTAATAACCTCATTGGAGGACACGTGGACCAATACCTTCTTCCGAGTGCACTCCCCTGGATTCTCCACCAGACGCACCACGCCGTTCTTGAACACCCAAACTCCAGACATTATATATATTTGTTTTATTTTATTTTATTTTTTCAAAAATAGAGTATGACGAAGGAGTNATTACTATGGAGACTTAGAGCATGGGTATATATGGAGGTGGGAGGAGATTCCAGTTCAATTGTGATGGGATATATAATACTTGTTCATGTATGTAATGGTAGTATTATGAGATTATTAGATGTAAGGGAAATTAATATGTGTGTAATAATATGACAGACTTTTGTCAAGGAATAGTCTAAAGATGCATCTTTTCACGGGTTGTATAATTCTTAAATGTTATTTCTAGAAAATAATATTTAAGTATATCTATAGCGCAATGAGAATTTGATAACCACATGTGGTCAAAAAAATGCACGACAGTGTCTGAAGGTCTTTTTGGGTATGAGGTAATTTTGGATATTTTCTATCTGAGTTTATTATTATTCTTAATAATGAGACTTGTGGAAGATAAAAAAAAAATGTGATAGGTATATGAATTCGCAATCTATCGAATAAATGTACGTAGTTATATATTAGGTCAGGTTATAGTTATATTTGAGAATACTTTTAATCATAAATGTTATTATTAGATTGTCTAACTGTTATACAATCATATTTTCAACAAACAGGCATACTAATACTATGAAATTTCATATTTTTGTGTATGTTGTATTTTAAATATGACATTTGTTAAGAAATATCTATAGTTGTTGAAAAAGCATGAATATCTAACCATTAGCAATCTAACAAATAACCGTAATGATAATTGATAAAAAAAAAGGAAAAAAATACCATTGCTTTTTTGCTCTAGTATATTTATAAAATTTGACCTTATTGCACTCTTCAAAAGACTTTTAAGACCAACTCCAGCGTAACTCTATATCTCAAGAGTGACGCTATTTAACGCAAAAATTAAGTTCAGTGTTGAGCCAGATTTTTGCGGCAGATGAAAGTTGTGAACAAAGTTGCGCCATATGTGGCGCAACACTGTAGAAGAACGCTACAATTTCTTTTTATTTTTTTTTGTTTTTGTTTTTTTGTGTGTAATATTATTGGTAAATTTTTGTAAGATGTGTATTAGTAAATGTATTTTTGGTGTTAAATAACTTTGTGTTATTTTTTATGCTAAATAATTTTTTGTTTTTTTTATTGATAGATTATAATTTTATTTTGTAATTTTCTAATATTAAAATTGTACCATATGCATAAAAATTTAACACAAACAAGTAGATTTCATTAACATTAAATTTACATATATATACCATTAAGTGAAATACATTTTTATTCTTTGGGTAATAAATATTTATATAAAGATTAAATATACATATATATACCAATTTATTTGAAGTATAAATGAATAAAAAAATAATATATTTGATGTAGATTAAATATAGAGATAAGGGCTGGAGACGAATGTTTCACTCTACTCTATTGTAAAGTAAAGTCCGCGCTATAATAGAGATAAGAGCTGGAAATGGCCTAACATGAGTTTATAAATAGGCTTTTGTTTTTTGCCGCAACATATTAACTATGATTTAAAATTAGAGAAAAATATTTACGATAACAATAAAAATTTCGCTACAATATATTTATGGAGACACATTTTTTTTTTCCAGTAAAATCACTGCTTAGACCGTTTTATTGTAATTATAGTTATTTAAAATATACTCGATACATATATATATCTTAAAAAAAAATAACGTATTACTGGGAGACACGTGGATTACTTTGTAAGAATATATGCTTTACCCGGGCATATACGTTCTGTAGGCTAACGATTTCAACGTTTGGTTGTGGCTTTTAATAACATAGATTTGACGTGGCTGGAAATGGGACCCTTTTTTGATACGAAAGGCCTCTGATTGGCCGATCGGGCATGGGCTTGGCTAGGATTAATACCTCGTGGGCCCCACATGTTAATCTTACGTCATACTCACTGTGTAAAGCATTCGTTTTAATTGTTTGACTCGGTGTCGGAATTGAAGATTTCATTTATTTTTATAAATTAAGTAATATAATATATTGGACCACAAATTTATATAGTATTGTGAACTTGAGACTGACTATCTACACTGCGGTCTAATTTTGCTTATGTATAGTGTAAATAGGCTTAAGTCTTGAATGAATGGATAAAATTATATATAAAAATAACACAATTCACTTCAATATAAAGACATTGAGTATTTATTTGAGTTTAAATAAAAATTAACGTTAGACTGAGTCTCTTTTTTATTGTCACATTTGCAGAACTCAGTGTTCTTCTACTTGCATTGAAAAATATATTTTTTAGATTGAGTCTATTTGTTACGTGACATGTAAATTGTATTGAATAAACTATGATTTAAATTAAACGATATTTGTGCATCTATACTAATATAAAAAAATTGTTGATAAATCATTTTTAGTAACTTTTGACTAAATATATAAATCATTTGACTTACTCTCTATAGACATATTTAAAAACACAGTAGTACAATCGAAATACAAATTTACGTGCTTTTCAAATTCTTGAAATATGTTTCTCATATTTGTTTAATATTTAGGAGCTCGTGCACTTATAAGTTTGTATTCAATAAAAATACTTGAATTCTGTTTGAATGATTTGACTTTAATATTTTAATTTGCATGGAAAATAATTTAACTGGAATTTAATCGTAAATTTTTATTTTCGTTTTATTAATGGATGTGAATTTTATGGTTAAATCAATTGTTTTTGTTAATTTCAATATGAGGAGCTAAATTCATTAGTTGGAGATATAAGATGATTGTTCTAGTTATTTTGATTCTCGAGCCTTTATGCTGTTCATCTTGTGCGAGTTATTTGATTCTTAGGGTTAGTCAATTGATTATCATCTAATACAATTAAATAACTTTTAGAATCGAAAGGGAAAGAGTTATTCGACCTAGGCTCGCATAATGTAGACGTGTTCGTACTTGTATTGCCTATGTATTATTTGCTTCGACAATTTTCCGTATATATTTGTTCTCTTGTTACGAAAAATTACTGAGAATAAATCATTAGGTGTGTAGCTTAATCGAGTCTCTTAACCGAACAATGAATTGCTTGGTATTTGCAGTAGGAACTAGAAACGATTATCCCCGACTCTCTAGCCTCTTTATCAATATCTCAGTTCGTTTGAAATATGAAAATTGAGCATTTGCATTTCTTCGAATTATTAGTAGTTTAATCAAAACCCAAATCATATGGATTATAGTTTTTGGGATTTAATTTCATTTTTGTGTTTTAATATACGCAAGAAGTAATTCGACTGGTTTCCCTTGACATACAACCCAAGAATTGATTCTTTCGAGTTGGCTCTTAGTAAAAATAGCTATAACAAAATGGTGCCGTTTTCTGAGAAGGTTTAGGACTTGTTTTGTGCGTCTATTCAATTTATTTTCGCGTCTCTTTGTATTTTGTGTTTTATCTCATATTTGACTTTTTGTGATTTTTAGTTATTTTTGTTATGTACTTTCTTTTGTACCATTGGTGCTCGTGACCGTTTGTTATTTTTGTTTTTGCGTACAACAAGTGAACGCATTATCATCCCAAACGATGAGTCTATTCAAAAGGATTTGAGGGAGCTCTTGGCAAGCCTTACCCTCGAACCTTCTGAATCAGAAAATCAGAATGACATGGAACAAAACAACAACGAGCATCAAACACTAAATTGAGGGGATAACCAAGCTCCTCACTATCTTCTTTGTGATTTGACCCAACTAATGATCGAACCGGTGAATCCGGTAGGAACAAGCATCTCAGAAACGAGCTCAAGATAGTCCATTTCATTAATCTCGATAAGTATGTCACCTATAAATTTAAAGAACATGGGTGTTCTTTGCAAGAATTATTGTCGATTTTGGGTTTAAGTACCCTTTTTTTTTTTCATAATTATGAAAAATTGAAAGTTAGCTTTCCAAATGAAATCAAGGTCATAATTATAAAGTTAGAAATGAAATAAACACCAATGAGACTCTATAGTCAACAACATTTTCCCCCAATTTAATCACCAGACACTATTTTGTTTGGTGTGCTATGAAAAGTAGAAGCTGCGGACATTAGTTTGAAAAGTGAAAGGCAAAAGCAATTTGCACGGGAGTAGCTATTGCTCAATGATCCTGTTTTATAATCCAAAATAATACATTTGGTAGATTAGGGAACATTTTGTTGTAAGGCTTTAAGGTATACAATTAAATACAATCCCTACCAATTATTTGTACATGTCCCTCGTGAAGCAATGGTCAAATGACCTGAACGAACCCGACCAGCTCCAAACAAAACAACAACCCAAAGGTTTTGTGTGTGTGGGCCCATATCATATCATCTTCTTTTCATCTTCATCCCAATCCAATCTTCAACATTGGACCACCCATATACATAATAATACAATAATGTACATATATAATTATTAGGAGACATATAATGTTAGATAGAACACATCATATATTTTTTGAATATTAAAATATGCTTTTAATGTAAAAATGTCATATTTTTATTTAAATTACTTTTATTCTATAATAATTTTTTTATACGGAATTAAGTATGAATGTCTCTACCAAAAAAGTATGATAGGCTAACGAGTACAATTGTCTGACATCAATCGTATTTTTTTCTTTGTACTTCTTCTTTCATTTGATTATTTCCTATGGCTACTCTTGATTATATACTTGGATTTTACAATTCTCAAAGCAAAATATAGCTAATTATGCATAACAAAACTATTTAATTCAACAGAGAAAAACAAAGAACGAGAGAGTTAAAATAAGGAACGAGAATAGAAGGGAATAGATAATGTTTTATCTTGTAACCAACATTACCATTTTTATATGTCCAACATGCTATAGTGTGGTGTTAGAACAAAAGTGGTAATCACGATGGGGTAAGTACCGAGGAAACCAAAAGTTAGTTAGTCCCCAATTTTATCGACAAACTCTACAAACCCATGTGAACTTGAGTATAAAAGTCAAAAGACATAATTAGCTTCACAATTCGATTGATTTCAATGTTGTGTAGCAATCAG